ATCAGCTATATATGTGGTTATATTAAGTCTATATTCATTTAAAAATAGGGAAATTTAATGATAGGAACTGCTAATTTACTTTTTAAAATTGTTATTTTAGTTTTTACATTAGTTTTTTAGCAGTTTGATATGTAAATAAGAGAAGCTTTTCGTGTATGGTCAATTTTTAACGCGGGCATTGACAGATTACCATTAAAAAACTAATTAAATGGTTAAAAATAACATCTCCTACTGTAGGGTAAAGTAGCACTTAATTCATATAACCATAAGAGTTCACGTAAAAATATTATTAAGATAAATAAAATACCATGTTATATCAAGTCATATCCATTTAAGAAAAGGGGATCTAACTATACCAATAATCTTGACTCGTGGCAAAAATTAAAGAAAACGTTGAAGTAGGAAATAGCAAATAGTTCCTAAAAGTCAAAGCAGAAAAAAACAAATCAAAATTTGTTAAACTGGGGATTTCCATGATTGTGACCTCACAACATCGAATGGTGCTTCTCCTTGTGTACATAGTTTGCTCTTCGATTGGAATATATGATCATAATAATAACAATAGCAATTTTCTTTCCATTTTGCATATCCCTCTACCTATGAAAAGGATTTCCGATTTTCCGTAGAAGGAATTGAAATATTATTTTCTCTATCATTTTTTTTAGATTCTCTCATACGTCTGGTATACCAGTAGGTTATGTTTTTTTAACTGTTAGATTTACGTACTATTTGACTTTTACTTGATTTTATGTAGATTTAATTGACAAAAAATTTAGTTTATTGAAATATTGACGTATCAGAGAATATCTCTTTTTTAAACTTATAAAACACTGTATAGTTGTTTTTTAAATAAATCAGTTTTTTGGTTCGTTAAGAATGAATAACAGTTATGTAACTGAGGCAAACTACGTAAGTTGGAAGCTTTTTTCTGTGTAATTGAAAGTCCAATAACGTTTTAAAAAAATCTAGTTAATTATCTCCTAAATTTAATAATAGCTAATGGTTTACTAACATCGCGACCTTGATCCATCTCCCTTGCACACTCTAAATTTTTAACTTCGCACAGTAAGGCTTAGAGAACTTTTTTTTTTTTTTTTTAATACCACAGCCCACTAAACTCCATCCCACCCGATCCCCTCGGGTGCTATTAGACCAAGCGGTCTTAAGCCTAAACATTTTAATTATATGCAAACAAAAGTAAATAATTATGTTGAAATTCTTTTCGAAAATCATGAATTATATATTAGCTTTATAGACAAGGTGGTTAAACTCGGACGATAATGCTTAGCCCAATTCAGCGTATGGGTCATTGGACTTTGCTCTCGGATAAAATGGGCCTCAGATGCTCACCTCTCCATTAGCTCAAAAGAACAGGAATCAGGTTGATATGGGAGCGCTTCTAAATCCGTACACTAAATCCTCTGGGTACAAATGTTACATTACAAAAGAGATGTAGAAAAAAAAATATAAAAGTCAATACTTAAGAATCCCATTTTTTTAAAACTGTTCATTGTTTCTTACTTTTTCAAATTTATTGTCTGTGGTACCTATTTTGCATTTTTTGTATATCTTTTATATGTTGCAATCTTTATGATAATAACCACATTTACGTATCAATCTTTTCAAATTTTTAATCTTATTCCATTATCATAAAGCTTGCAACAACTTTTATGCTCCTATTCGCGATTATTATAAAGTTTTTGTTGCTCAATTTCATTAATCATGATATATGATGAACATTGTTATAAAGTTGCAATCTTATGATAGTGATCATGTTTGCTTAGCGTATCTAAAAGTTGCCAACCTTATCAAATTTCTAATCTTATTTCATTATTACGAAGTTACAATCCTTATACTTTTATCATTAGAGATTGTAATGTTATTAAGTTCTACAATAAAATGAAAATATAGATAGTTTTTAAAGTGAACAAAATATTTATCTACACTCTCTTTCCCCACTAATTCTTTGTCACCCCACACCTTATATTATGGTCATCCCTGTACTCTTTTTTTTTTTTTTTAACGGAAGTCATCCCTATACTTCTTTAGTCTTTATTTTTAAATATCTTTATTTGTATTTCACCAGATTCTAGTGGATTAATTAGACGATAGCGTAACAAGATACGTTGTACCTAGTGAAAAATAACATGTATTGCCAATTAAAAGATGTTCAATCTTCTCATTCCTCTTTTAAAACTACTAGTTTTGAGTCCGCGCGTGATTCACTTAAAATAACATTTATACAAAAGAAGATAAAAACAAGAAAAAGATATGAAGCAAAGACGGAGAAAAAATATTTTAATTTATTTTGTTTGTTTTAAATAAGTTCAATTTTTTCCTTATTTAATTTGTTTTTTATGCAATCTCGCATGATTTTTCTTTCATGTTAGTGAGTTTTTATTTAATTTTATAATTTATATAAATCATTAATCTTATCATTTTAATCCCTCATTTTTATTTTTTATTTGTCTTTCTTCCTTTTATTTTTATCCCTCTTCCTTTTATTGTTTGCTTTTTTTTTTAATACTTTTCTAACTTTTGCCTCCTGTTTTTTGGCCCCCTTCCTTCTTTATTCACTTCTTTAGTCATTTATTTTTATTTTTTCTCTCATCCTTATTTAATCTTATCATTTTAGTCCCTCATTTTTGTATTTTTGTGTGTGTGTGTGTGTGTGTTTTTTTTAGGTACTTTTTCCTTTTTTATTTGCTTCTTTGGTCCCTTATTTTTGTTTTTCCTGGCATCCTTATTTAATCTTATCATTTTAGTCTTTCATTTTTTTTTATTTATTTTTCTTTTTTGGTTTTTTTATAACCTCTCTTCCTTTTTTATTTGCTTATATAGTCCCTCATTCTTGTTTATTTGCTTATTTCCATTGTTTAGAAAGATTCTCTATAGTAATTAATTAAATAAAATTTTAATTATGTAATTAAAAAATTATTTATTTAGTAAATAGAATACTACTACATTATTAATGTACTAATTATTTTTTATTAATACATTAATTAATTATTTATAAACTAATAAATATGACTAAATTACTAACATACTAATTACTTATATACTGATTATTAATTACCTTTTTAAAAAAAAAATTACTTAGCATATTAATTTATTATGTATATAATTTAATTATTAATGTGGTCACTAATGATAATATATCCATTATTACGTTTCTTCTATCCTTTCTTTTTTCTTTCTCTGTTTTTTTTTCGAGAATCTGTGTAACCATTGTTTTAAATTCGCATGCGTTTTTAACTAGCAATATTAACAAAATGAACCTGGATTTATCTCAGGCCATCAGATCAAACAGATCAATGGCTGAGAATGGTGTGTGTTCTACACTCGCGGAGAGGCGCTCGTTCAGAGGGGGTAGGGGACAAATGCGTCAGCACCCCTGCAGATGGGTCCCGCCACTTTCTCGTTCAGACCAATCACAGAAAGACACGTGGAAAGCTGTCGGCCACCTTCTTCCCACCTATGCGATTTAGTGTGGCACAGTTCATGATTGTGCCTTTTTTCATCCAACAACGAACGGACATGTGGCAGGTTTTAATCCAGTGGCCCACAGACAACTCATGCAGATCCCACCAATGAATTTTACCAATCGGACACGTGGCAACTCCACTTAATTTTATCCAAACCTGATTTTTTCCCACCTCCGTAAAAAAAAAAATTACGTGGTTAATTTTCGGGGGAGAAACATCGAAACGTTTCGCACCTCCCCTAAAACAACAAATTCTCCTTTAGATATTCAAAGGCCTCGTTCATTTCACCATTCAAGTTTTCAGTTTTAGGTTTCTACAGTAAAAAGCTCTCAGAAAATGTCACATCTAACTTTTTCTGCTACAGTGAAAAGCTCTCAGAAAATGTCACATCTCAGCTCGAATTGAAAACTCGAATTCGCGAAGTGAACGAGGCTAAATTGTCTTTAACTTCAAATTTTAATGACGTAGATAAAAGTTCTATTTAAATGAAAATAAACCATGAATGTACAAGGAAATATAGTGTGTGGCTTTAGGACTACACAAATTGTAATGTGGGAGAATTTTTTAAAACTAATATAGTTGATAGGAGGAGGTTTTCAAAAATGGGAAAAAAGAAAATAGAAATAGTAGGAAATAGGCCGATATGAAAAGCTTAGAAAAGTATATAGATTAATTTTTAGTTATAGAAATTAGTAGGCCATAACTTGTCAAGTTATGATTCATAATCAGATAAGTTATGGACAATAACTTATTAAGTTATGGTTCATAACCAGATAAGTTATGGACGAAAATAATAATTTAGCCTATTTATTAACTTATATAAACTATTAACTTATCAATTTTAATTCATCTCAAGTCTCGACCTATTTTCTTTTTTTTCCCAAAAGAAAACATGTTACTAACAGTCAGCCGGTTTGTCTTGGTGTGTTGACCTGGCACACAATATATTTTTATTTTTATGTGAGAAAACGTTATAGCAAAAAGACTAAAAATATAGTTAAACTTACTAAAAGAAGGGGACCAGCTTGAATTAATATCATCCTAACGTGCAACGCATTGGAGATAACCTGCGAGTATTTTCCATTTTGTAATGCAAAGTATACTATTTTTTTTTTTCACCTCTAAAAAATATACTATTAAGCATTAATTCTTATTTGCCTTCAAAAGCGTGTTAACTTTTATATTATTATTATTATTATTAAATGTGCTAATTGCTTCCTCCTCCCCATCCTATATCTTATCATGTTGGGTTTCTTTGGGGTTCCTAAAGGCCCCTTAGCCCAAGTCCATGCTACTCCAATTCCACCCAGGCCTTATAGGCCCAACCCAAGTCACCATTTTCAGTTTTCACGTAACACAACACAACAGCCAGCACACTGTTTTCCTCGAACAGCTCCTCAGATCAATTTGTATTTGTGTGTACTCAGATCAAATTGTCTACTCCAATACGACGTAACGACGATAGATTTGGTTAATGATAATAATCCTCTGTTGGGGTCCAGTTACTTTCGGACGATAAAAGGAGAAACACATTAGTAAAAGCCAAAAGGGAATTTTCCCATTTCTCAATTTATTTAGCAGATTGATCTATCATCTACCCAGATTCTTCTGACCCACCTTATGATTTTCAGTCGTCTTCACTCCGGGTTTCACCTCCAGAATTGAACTCCTCCAAAACTCACTTCAGATTTCAAGGTAATCCTCTGAGTTTCACTTTCCCTTCAAAGATTAGATATTATGCACGACACTTATATCAGCTCAACTATTTATGCTCTTAGAAGCAAAGGCTCTCTTTCATTTTCCTTCAATGACTACTCCTACTTATTACATGAACGCTTCGACAGAAACCCATTTCAAACTTCCTTTTCCAGATGTTGTTGTTGTTGTTGTTGTTGTGGATTTTCAACCCAAAAAGTACCCATAAATCCTTGTTATTTATATGGGCCTAGGCAGTCCACTCTGCTTCAGTGGTCAGCTTCTAGGAAGTTGATCTTGGGCGGTGGAGACAGATGTTATTATCATTGTTCTCCAATTTCTGGTATTGATAGAGATTTTTATGACTTCTCTTGGTCTCTCAAGGAGAGGAGTTTTTGTAACACTAGTAGGAGAAGAAGTAAGGGGAGATGTTGTTGTGTAGTTGATAAGGGAGATGGTGGAATGTATGATTCGAGGCGTCTCAATGACGCCGAGGCGTTGCTCAGCTTGTTGAGTGAGGAGGTGGATGAGGATTATGTTTTCGGGGGTAAGAGGAGGAATTGGAGTTCGTATAAGAGAGTTGAGGTGAAGGGGAAAGGGGGTTTTAGTAGTAGTAGTAGAGAGAGGAGTTTAGGTTTGTCTGATAGGGCACAAGCGAAAAAGAGAGTGAATAATGATGGCATTTGTAACTGCGGGAAGAAAAAAGTTGATGGGCTGAGATCAGAAGAAGGTAATACGAAACGTGGATATGAGTCGATCAGGATTGAGTCGAGGGGAGAAGAATTGAGGAGGAATAGAGATAGGGGAGCTATTTCGAGAGGCGAGAATCGGAGGTTGAGAAAAGATAATTCTAGTTGTTCATCTTATTACTCGCTTTCATCTTCGGGGGATTTTGATGACGAGACAGAAGTTCATGATAAGCATACGTTATTAGCGGAGGAATCTTTATCTGGGTATGAGGACTCAGAATTAAAAGGAGCAGGTAAGTTTGATGGCCAGACAACAGAGAAATATGAGGGGTATGTAGATGATATACATGAGCAAGGGGAAGTATCAGATCAAAGAAAAATCACCATTGTGGATGATGTTGAATGGGATCAGAGGAAGAAGACGGAGAAGAAGTACAATGATAGATTGGGTCAAGAAATACAACATGGTAGGGAATCCTCACAAAGGCAATCACAAGTTTCTGGATTTCGTCGAAGTAGTTATGAAAAGACCTCCAGTTCCCACAAGCAATTCAATGATGAGGAAGATACTTCAACTTCAGCTGTAAGTTTGGATAAGCGTACAAGAAAGCAATATGCTCAAAATGAGAACCGAGTTGTTGAAGCGTCTACATCTAGAAGAAAATTGGCAGAGAAAAAAGAAATTCAAGAATTCCACAGGGACGACATCCAAAGAACTTCCCAGTCCCACATTAGGGTAGGTAGCACTGGAGAAAAAGATGAACAGCGAAAAGAAGTTAGCTACGTAGCTGAAGAACAGAATTCAAAAAGAAACAACCAGCAAGTCAGAAGATTTTCAGAAGCTCAAGATTTTGACACTCGAAGGACCACTATTTCGCAGAATCAGTCCGAAATAGGAGTTATAGGCGTGGAGGGATATAGAGAAAATGTTTCAAGTTCACTTCAGGGGAGAGAGCAGTCACAGCACAAAACAAGTCAGGAAGCCGTTCAACAAGCTGACATGAGAAGAAAATCTCAACAAGCTACTACAATATCAAAAATCTATGACACTAATATTGATAGAACTTCAGTCATGCAGTCTGAAACTAATAATTTAAATCAGGTACAAAACACAAACTTGATTTCGATTTCATATCCGGGATCCATGGAGCCAAATTCACAAACAGCAGGACAAAGACCTCCTCAGAGAATTCAATCTGGAAGAGGATCTCATGATGTAAATGATATGACTGTTGTTCATTCTAGTGAAAATGAGAGAGTTACTGATTCTCGAAGAGATTACGAAAGGAGAGTTCATCAGGAAAGTGAAGCAACATCAGTTGTGAAATTGGTTGGTGAAACAAGAGAAGAATTCACTCAGAGGCAAATTCGATGCAAAAAGGAGTTGGAAGAGGTGTCTACGTCTCAAGAACCTTTGATTTTGGATTCCGAAGCCAGAATGCTGAAGGATGATGCAGATGAAAGGGTTCAGAGAAGCTCACAAACAATACTAATGCCTCCTCCATCTCAGTTTCTATCTAAAAGTTCGTTACATGTGGAGTTGGCAAGTGGAGTTGAAAACCAAAAGGTTTCCAGCTCAACTTTCGAGAGTGGCTCTAGTTCCTCATATCCGTATCCAAGAATACAGCCTCCAGCGTTGCAGCAAGAATCATATGAAAGAAATGAGAGTGCTGAGGCTTATAGGGAGCCTTTGTACCTTATCACCTCCGAAGATGCTCTGGCTTCTGCTGACCGTTTACAGCAATCCTCTGCTCAATTTGTTGGAGAGTTTGTAGAGAAGGTGAGGCATGAAGTGTCAACTTCTGAAATCCAGAAAGTGGCCGAGGTTTCTGAAATAACATTAGCTTCTGAAGCTGATAAAGATGGCCAAAACAAATTGACTCAATATGCTTCTAAAGACTTCCAGCCAAAGGAGCATGATAAGGGGCATTCATCCGGTGGTTCCGGAACCAAGGGGCCGTCGGATGAAATGTGGGATGTTTCAGACCCGTCTAGTTTTAGAACTCCAAGGGAAGAAAAAACAGAACCCACTACAACAATGGAGAATGCTATTATAAAAAGAAGTGGCAGGTCCTTGTGGAATATCATTGCAGATATAGTTACACTAAGGTGGGGTTCGCGTCCTGAAACCCCTAGTTCTACTGGAAGATCAGGTAGAAGGGTTTCACAAAACGAATCTGTCCCTAGTGAATCGTGGTTTTCTGCCCATGAATCTGAGCAGAGCAAAGACAAGCATGCACAGGACAAAGGCCTTCCACTGGAAACCATGTCTGATCAACTGCTAGTAACAACATTGTCTACCCCAGGTCAAGGAACTGAGTCTGTTGTATTGGAATTGACTGAGCATAGACGAGATCTTGAGCCAGAACCATCATCTTCAACAAGTATGATGCAAAGTAGGTCAACATCGAAAGGAATTTCATCGTCCGGTGACGAGAATCTAGGATGGAATGATGATGGGAGGAGTTTGGGAGGCTCCCCTTCCGGGATGGAAATAGTGGAATTGTCCTCACAACCAACTGCCAGAAGTGAAAATTCTACAATTTTAAGTCAAATTTCTGATACCGGGAATACCAAAAGTGGTTTGTTGGGGCAGATAGAGCAATATAATCCTGCAAAGTCCACTGAAGTATTAGGGGCTGCGGGAAATAGTGGAGAGCTGAAAAGAAGGAAGCTTCAACGGAACAAACAGGTGCCGAAAGATAGATTTGAGGTATGGGAAGAAGCATATAAACTTGAAAGTGAGCAAAGGAAAATCGATGAGATGTTTATGAGAGAGGCACTTTTAGAAGCTAAGAAGGCTGCTGATACATGGGAGGTGCCTGTTGGGGCCGTACTGGTGCAGCATGGCAAGATTATTGCTCGCGGTTACAACCTGTAAGTTTTAGGCTTCCTTATGTAAGTTGTATGATTATACTTTTTTTTTCCTTATGGAAATTTATATAAAAAATACGTGTCTCAGGGTGGAAGAGTTACGGGACTCAACTGCCCATGCAGAAATGATTTGCATTCGGGAGGCTTCAAACCAACTTCGGACATGGAGGCTTGCTGTAATTCTCTATCATTGAATCCATTATGAACTTATGATTTCAATGTTATATCTCATTTTAATTTTGTTTCTCTATTTGTCTTTTTAAGATCAGGGGAGTAGCTTCATACTCAAGATCAAAACCTCACAGTTAATACCTGTGGCCCATAGCTCCCCCGTTCCTTATTTGACCCCTAAGTAGAGTAAATCAAGCCTAGGAATGAGTGTTCCCCCCCCCCCCCCCCCCCTTCTTCTTTTTCCGCCATTTTGCTGAACAA